GAAGTCATATTGGGGGGAAGAATATGGCTTTAACAAGCTGTTTTCTCTTGTGAAATCTGACGACACAGAAATATTTTGAAAACAAAACAATGATTTTTTACTTATTGTGTTATATGTTACAACCCAGGCACTTACCTGGGTCCTCACTATTCCAATTTATGCATATTATACATTCATCACACCTCATTTAATTCAATTTACTGTATTATTGAAGGTTTAGTTCATACGTACTATGTTATATTATTATCATTCTGTTGCCTGTATTACAATTATACCATTGTATTGCAGTGTTGTATTTTATTGTATGAGAGTTGGTCATGGGAGCGGGCGTAAGTGTGGACGAGTGCTTGAGAAGATGGGTGGTGTGTGCGACAGTGCTGCCAGCTGTGCAGGTTACTTAAATGACTATTGTTTTCTGTGTGAGAATCACAATTACTTAAGTTGTTGTTCTAGATAGTCTTATGTATTATATACTTATGTTTAGAAATGTTTGATAGTGATTATGTCAGTGTGGAAATGTGGCTGTTGAGTTGTTATGTTCGTGGTGCTTGGCTATAGTTGTTTGAGCAGCTCCCTGGTGTCAGTCGGAGCAATTTTCATTCAGTTGCAGACGGGGTGCGGAAACGACTGGATTGTTCTGAGGGCTTGTGCTTCTAAAGGCTTGTGCTCCTAAGGGTTTGTGCTCTTAAGGGCTCGTGCTCTTAAGGGCTCGTGCTCTTAAGGGCTCGTACTCTTAAGGGCTTGGGATCATATTAAGGTTTATTTTGCACCTGTTGTATACATGTGTTCATGTTAACAGCGTTTATGCCAGTTATGTTTGTACATATTAAAGGCTTGAATGATCGTCTCGCGTGTCGAGAGTGACAGACGATCGTGCGGGGGGGGGGGGGGGGGGGGCGTGCACGTAGCGGGTAATAACGTGTAGATTATGTAAGGTAAGGAAACTATCAGGGGAGAGCGCCAAGCCATTACGACTATATAACACTGGGAAGGGGTCAGGATAAGGATTTGGGATAGGACGAGGGAAAGGAATGGTGCCCAACCACTTGGACGGTCGGGAATTGAACGCCGACCTGCATGGAGCTAGACCGTCGCTCTACCGTCCACCGCAGGTGGTTGGGCTACCTGTGTTGACGCCTTCGTGTTTCTCAAGCAGTGCTGCTGTCATCTACATTGTGTACATCCGTCCTTCATTATTGTGTGTAATGGTTTTAACTCACAAACGTGTTTCAATTCAGTGATCATTATCATCCTTTCGTATTGCACTCAAACTCTCACTTCTTGAACGATACAATGTGTCGAGGAGAGCACCTCTGGCTGGAAGAAGGGGGACCCATAGCCTCGGAGGAAACCACACATAACGCATTAGAGGGAATGTTTAGGTCCCCTCCAATACAGTTTGTGTGTGCTTTTCTCCTACCACCCCCTTCCGTTTGTGTTTTGTTGGGCTTTATTAGATATTTAAAGGTTACCAAATGTACAGTTGTTAATACAATGAGTGCTTAAAGGTTATCTATCTCTTGGAGCTCCTCCGCTTCCGGACAGGAACCGAGGACGCAGCAGGCGTTTCCCCCTCTGGATAGTCACACTGAGACGCTGAAACAAAAAACTGGCAGATCTTGGGTTTCTGGTGACGTCATTGAGCCTGGAGCCTAATTCCGTGAGAAAACCCCAATGCACTCCCACCCCAGGGGCCATACGTCTCAGATGCTATGGGAACAAAGGTGTATAGACCTTCCAATTGTCTGTATTTGACTGATTTTGCTATTTCTCTATGGTTGGCCGCCCCACCTGCTTGATCAGCACCAAAGTGGATGTAGGTGTCAGCCAGGGTGAATACACATGTGTAGTCCCACACCAACTGTTTGGCCCTTTTTCCAGGGGGATATAGTGATGCCATCAGGGCGATTTTTTTTTGTTCAGGGATATTCCTGCACGGGCCCTAAGCCTCTGGCTGTCCCCTAAGTGTTGCTTGTTTCTGTCTTACTTCGGAGCGGTATGAGTATTTACGACTCGTATGGTCGTTTCAGTAAGATTTTGCCCCATGTGTTGAAAAAAAATTATGCTCTGTTGAATTTAAGTTGAACTCCTAATGGGTTTCTTACTGTGCACTGTGTTAGATAATGTTCCAGTGATCTGTCGGGCATTTCTCCACCGTGCTGACATTTCCTCTCATCTTCTGGAACCTGTGAGCCTATTTCGCCATGCACATGGGTATCCAAGCCTAATGCGAAGTGTGCTTCAGATGTTCTACTGCTCTCTTTCATCAAAATAAGTGGTTCGTAGTTTGTTGAATTCATATACCAAGGCGAAGTGCGGGTAATTTTTGTCCCCTAGGATGCGAGGTTCTCTCTCCAATGGGTACTGAGCTGAGACAAGGCTCCTCTTGATGATGTCATTGACCTTACTGGGTCTTGCATGCCAACTCTTGGATCATATAGATCATATCATGCTAGTCCTATATATATATATATATATATATATATATATATATATATTTATATATATATATATATATATATATATATATATATATATATACCTAACTGAAAACTCACACCCCAGAAGTGACTCGAACCCATACTCCCAGGAGCCACGCAACTGGTATGTACAAGACGCCTTAATCCACTTGACCATCACGACCGGACAATTCAGGCTTGTTCGCATATATATATATTTATATATATATATATATATATATATATATATATATATATATATATATATATATAAATATTATTACGTGTGTCAGGTTATAAGCCTGTAAACATATAAATAATACTGTTGCCTGTATTTTGTTAACGTACTTTATTTGTACCTACCACAGAGTAAACTGATGTTCCTATTTTATAAAGTTTTATACTTAATGATCCTTGTGGAATTAGATAATTATAACAGGGCAATTAGAAGTTTAGCAGCTGTTTCTGGGAACACGGTTAATATTCAACACTGATGTCAGAAAAATTTAAGTAAATCTTGTTATTCATACTTCGGCTGTAGCACCATAAAACACATAAACTCAAATCAAACCTCCCTCCTCCCACCATCCGCTTCTACCGAAGGCCTATCCAACATCCTCGCACACACTTAAAACAAATGCATAATTGTCCATTAAAAAAAAATATTATATTTTTTAAATATTTCACACTGCTAAGCTCTTCCCATTGGCCGACCACCTGCATGCTAATGGAAACTATTATATTATTTATATTAGACAGAGATGCAGTCAGCCAAAAGACAGAAAGACATATACAGAAACAGACAGAAACGGAGACAGAGATAGGATTGCTTTGAGACCAGGTCGACCAGAGCAAAGGGAGAGACAGCAAGACAGGCAAAAATAACACAGAGACAGGCAACAGCACAAAGAGACAGACAAACACAGGCAAACAGACACAGAAAGACAGAAACAGAAATAGGCAGAGAAGGAATGAGAAAAGGTGAGACGGATGATGTTCGAAGAGATTAAAGGAGGAGACAGGTGGAGAGGAGGAAGAGAAGGAGACAGTTGGAGAGGAGGGGAAGAAGGGAGGAGAGGTGAGAGAGAGATTGGGAGAGAGGGTGGAGAGATGACAGGAAACTGGACCAAAACATGGCCGTAACTATAACACACTCACAGACCAAGCGGGAAGAGGAAGCCCAAAATCAACCAAAACTGACACACAATGTGGAAAATCTTCTCTATATGCTAACATACATGGACTAAAGTCAAAATCGAGAAATAAAATTATGTTCATGAGCGAGGTTACATGGATAGTGAACTCTAGATTCAATCTTATGATTCAGATAAATGTGATAGAGAGGGAATAGGTCACATGGAGGAGTAGGTATGTTTACTGAGGAGAAACTGAAGAGTTTTGGTTAGTACACCATTTCCGTGACAAAGTTGCTATGTAAAATACATATATATATATATATATATATATATATATATATATATATATATATATATATATATATATATATGTTTTTTATACACTGTATTGTATGTGTTGTGTTTATGCGTATATATTTTATAGGCAGTGCCACCGAGTGGGCCTCTCGTGCAGGCCCATCACCTCAGCCACTACCCTCAAAAGCCCACCAGCAATCCAGCTGGGATGGCCCTATTGCAGACCAAGTTGCTGCAGAGTGCCTGGGTGCTGCAACAACACAACACGACATTGCTCATCTCACAGCAGAAGTAGCCCCACATGCAGGGGATTTCCTGCTAGCAACCCCAATGTCGGCAACTGGCACGCATCTCGCACCACACGCCCTCCGAATTGTTGTGGTCCTCCGCCTTGCTATGCCAATCCACACCAGATATAGGTTTATTTGCGACCAGGTGGTGGCCGACAGGTACGGCCACCATGGCCTACTCTGCCAAAGCACAGGGGGATGGCACTCGAGGCATAGTGAAGTTAACGACATCATCAAGAGGAGCTTCACCACAGCTGGATGCCCAGCTGAAAGAGAAACCCGTTACCTAACCCCCCGTAACTGATGCTTTTACTGGTCGCCCAGATGGTATCATAGTGAACCCCTGGAAGAATGGTAAGCAAGTGGTATGGGACTACACATGCGTATCAACGCTGGCTAACACCTACATTGACTTCAGTGTTGCACAACCAGGTGGCGCTGCCATCCACAGGGAATCAGCCAAATCCCGTAAGTACAGAGAACTGGATCACCACTACAATTTTGTTCCCATTGCTTCTGAGACACTCGGCGCCTGGGGTAAGAGTTGCCTTGACGACTTGTCACAGGTCGTCAAGACTGTCACAGGTCGTCAAGACTGTCACAGGTCGTCAAGACTGTCACAGGTCGTCAAGACTGTCATAGGTTGTCAAGACTGTCACAGGTCGTCAAGACTGTCACAGGTTGACATAACTGTGGTTGAGTATTTTATCTCCATTAACGTAGCTTAACGTGCACAATGGTGCATATTAGTTCACAAGAATCATTATATAGCGTTAATATTGAATACCACAAGGACAAACAGCATTAAAAGCTATGCATTTCCATGACAGTTTATTCATGCATAAGCAAGGCAGACTGTATGCATGATCAGCTACTTAGAACGGTATCATACATATTTCTACCTCTATTTTGTCGCTACATATACATATATAATACATATAATAATACTTCAGCTAACTGTAACACACGTTACAGTTATGATAAGCTAAAATGGACCTTTTTTCAGTCCTGATGTCGTTGCCCTGTCGGTTGTTCGGCTTCTAAACAGCGCTTATTTCCTGTTTACTCGAAATCCATATTGGTCCCAGACGACGCCCTTCGCGCGCTGCTCCTCGGCGAAGCGGATTTGTTCGATGGCGTGGGCGGGGAGCGGGGGGATGACGGGGGACTCGGCGCGGTAGCCGAGCTCGTCGGCCACGTAGCGGACCTCGACGAAGGTGCCGTCGGGGAGGGTGAAGCTGCGGGTGGAGAGGGAGAGAGAGAGGTGTCTGTGAGGAACATCGTGGTGGGTAGGAATGAGATGCTAAAATTCTTGAAGCTCAGTGTTGGTGGTGGTGGTGCGGAACATAATGGCGTTGTGAATGGCAGGAATTGAATATGGTACACACACACACACACACACACACACACACACACACACACACACACACACACACACACACACACACACACACACACACACGGCACGAGTTACGAGGAAAGGCTGCGGGAAATGCACCTTACGACACTAGAAGACAGAAGAGTAAGGGGAGACATGATCACAATCTACAAAATCCTCAGAGGAATCGACCGGGTAAACAAGGATGAACTATTCAACACTGGTGGGACGCGAACAAGGGAACACAGGTGGAAACTGAGTACCCACATGAGCCACAGAGACGTTAGAAGGAACTTTTTCAGTGTCAGAGTAGTTAACGGATGGAATGCATTGGGTAGTGATGTGGTGGAGGCTGACTCCATACACAGTTTCAAATGTAGATATGATAGAGCCCAATAGGCTCAGTAATCTGTACATCAGTTGACTGACAGTTGAGAGGCGGGACCAAAGAGTCAAAGCTCAACCCCCGCAAGCACAAATAGGTGAGTACAAATAGGTGAGTACACACACACACACACACACACACACACACACACACACACACACACACACACACACACACACACACGAATTGAGGGTTATGAGCTACGAGGAAAGACTACGGGAATTAAACCTCACGTTGCAGGAAGACAGAAGAGTTAGAGGAGACATGATCACCACATACATGACTCTCAAAAGAAATGATAGGGTAGGTAAAGACAGGCTATTTAAGAAAAGGGACACACGCTCTAGGGGACACAGGTGGAAACTGAGTGCCCAAATGAGCCACAGAGATATTAGAAAGAACTTTTTTAGTGTCAGAGTAGTTGACAAATGGAATGCATTAGAAAGTGAGATGGTGGAAGCAGACTCCATACGCAGTTTCAGGTGTGGATATGATAGAGTTCACTAGGCTTAGGAATCTGTACTCCAGTTGATTAACAGTTGAGAGGCGGGACCAAAGAGTCAAAGCTCAACCTCCGCAAGCACAACTCGGTGAGTGCACACACACACACACACACAGGGAGGTGGGCCTGTGCCTTAATGGATAGCGCTCTTGACTTGTAATCCTAGGGTTAGAAAGACTATAGATTGGGTAGAAAGGCGGGGTCCAAGGGCAAACAGCTCGACTCTGCAGATACAAATAGTAAATTCAATTAATAAATACACACACACACTCAAACGTTTCAGATAAACACAAGGTAATAACAGCCGGGGATCTCCCAGTACAAGACGCTGTCACAGAGACCAGCTCACGATGCACGGGAAGAAAACACCTCACGTGAAATAATCTTGGTCCAGGACATAGCCAGCCAGCCCTCAGGCAATCACCTCATTGTCTAGTAATCACTACACTACTACCGTCTTGAACCCTTGAACCCCTGAAGACTCCTTCCCGCAGTAATGCTGCCTGACTCCCTTCACCCTTTGTGAAATATAACTACATTTTCAATAATAGCAGCGAAAAGAATAAGACAGCCGTCGCTTATTAATCTATTAAGTGTAATGATTGTCGCCTTTGTCTTCGGGGAGAATCTTAATGTTTCTATTGTGTCAAGATGCGAGTGTTTATTTTCTTCTCGTGACTCGAACGTTTGGTGGCTTTGTGTTTAGTGTGTGTGAGTATAGGTAGGCTCGGAGGCCACGTGTTTGATCTCTTACAATGTATATCTCTCTCCTCGCCACATTGTATCTCTCTCCTCGCCACATTGTATCTCTCTCCTCGCCACATTGTATCTCTCTCCTCGCCACATTGTATCTCTCTCCTCGCCACATTGTATCTCTCTCCTAGCCACATTGTATCTCTCTCCTCGCCACATTGTATCTCTCTCCTCGCCACATTGTATCTCTCTCCTCGCCACATTATATATCTCTCTTCCCATTGTATCTCTCTCCTCGCCACATTGTATCTCTCTCCTCGCCACATTGTATCTCTCTCCTCGCCACATTGTATCTCTCTCCTCGCCACATTGTACCTCTCTCCTCCCTATTATGTATCTCTCGCCTTCTCGCCTCATCATATTGTATCGTTCAAGAAGTTTGAGTGCAATACGAAAGGATGATAATGATCACTGAACTGAAACACGTTTGTGAGTAAAAACTATTACACACACTAATGAAAGACGGATGTACACATTGTAGACGATGGCAAGACTGCTTGAGAAACACGAAGGCTTTCACAGAGGTAGCCCAACCACTTGCGGTGGATTGTAGAGCAACGGTCTCGCCTCATGCAGGTCGGCGTTCAATCCTCGACCATCCACAAGTGGTTGGGCACCATTCCTTTCCCCCGTCCCATCTCAAATCCTTGTCCTGACCCCTTCCAAGGGCTATATAGTCGTAATGGCTTGGCGCTTTCCACCAATTGGTCCCTTACCTTACCTTAATCTACACGTTATTACCCGCTAAGCGCACGCTTCTCTCCCCCCCCCCCCCAGCACACTTGTTCGTTACACAGGCACACTCGACACGCTAGGCGAACATCAAGTCTTTAATATGGACAAACACAACATGTATAAACGCTGTTAACACTAGCAAAAGTTCTTAACATGAGCACAAGTTCTTAACATGAGCACAAGTTCTTAACATGAGCACAAGTTCTTAACATGAGCACAAGTTCTTAACATGAGCACAAGTTCTTAACATGAGCAAAAGTTCTTAACATGAGCAAAAGTTCTTAACATGAGCACAAGTTCTTAAAGGCAGTGGACCGTGGCTATAGTGTACCAAACACTACACACACACACACACTCGGTTTGACGCCGGCCGTGGCTGATACAAATGGGCAGAGTTTCACCCTGATGTCCCTGTTCATCTAGCAGTAAATAGGTACCTGGGAGATAGACAGCTGCTACGAACTGCTTCCTGGGTGTGTGTTTGTGTGTAGCTGGAGTCCAAGAGCTAAAAAGCTCGATTCTGCGGACACAAACAGTAAATACACACACACACACACACACACACACACACACACACACACACACACACACACACACACAACCGAGATCAATGCCATAAAAGCAAACATTGCGAGGACTAACCTATAGGAACCCTGGATGTTACTTTGCCCCTTGGAGCCCGGGGTGCCGACGGCGTTCACCGCGATGCCGTTCTCGGTCTCGAAGTCGTAGTTGAAGTTGCCGTCACCATAATCCACTCGGTTGTCCTTCAGGATTGCGATGGGCTTGTAGTCCTGTCGGTCCCGCTGGCTGAGCTGTTTGCCGAACTGCTGAGGGGCGGCGGCTGCGAGGGCGGCCAGACAGGCGAGGACAACCTGGGACGAGACACGAGGTCAATAACTTCGGCTGTCTAGTATCACAACTCCATAAACAAAAAGTTAAGTTTCAGACATTCACAAAACACGGCACTGCATCTATCACTCACAGACTTCATGTTTGGGGATCTCTGGTTGACGTCGATCTGAAGAGGCTGGCAGAGCTTGCTGCTTGGGGCTTGGGTGGAGCCTTATATACACCCAGCCCGAGGTCATGGCGTCTTCTTCTTCCTCTTCTCCGCCCCTCTCCATAACCCCCCTTTCACCCCCCTCCCCCAAACCCCCACTTCCACCTTCCCCCTTCTAACATGCTCTGATGGGTTCCCACCTTGCCTTAGGGGTCACGCAACACCCCACACACACACACATCAGGGTAATCCCGGCGGTTCTCACCACCGCGATTGGTAGCATTGTTAGATTTGCGGAGATGTTAATGTGTTGGGGGCTGGTGCCACGGCTGGGTTGGGGAAGCCGCCTGTATGTGGTGTCAAGTAAGTCAGATGGTGTCAACTCAGATGGTATTAACACAGGTATTCTGGGGAGCGACGATAAGACGCAGGTTATAACTCGTTACATAACCGCTCACCAAATCTTGTAACCATTGTCGCGAGGAAATATTAAAATTGGGATTATTATATACAGAAGTACCTTGTATTATTTGCCTTCAAAGGCACAATTTTGACGATAAGTTATACAAGAATATTCCCAAAGAATATAATGCTTGTATAGTGCTGAACTTTGTTGGCCATATCTGATGGACCGTTTTTGTTCAGGTCGTAAGTCTCAGTCTGGCTGGCCGGTTGTAAATGTTATTGCAATGGTTATTAAAGATGTTGTAGACATCGGTGCTCACAGCATTATCTTCTTTTTTCTAATATATATTAATAAGCTTATTGCCAGCTTTATTTGGATAACTGAGAATCAATTTAGTTTGTTTCCAATTTTATATATATTCTTAGCGGTATGCTTTATGTCTGAACTATATGGAATGAAAGATATTCAGGGGAAAGGATCTCCTGCTGCCTAGCGGTGATAGTCTGGGCAAACTTACTCTGACAATGTGTAAAGCTTCACTAGCAAAGGAATTGAGTTGTTGAGTTAATTGTAGACTTTTGCTAATATTATTGTCTATCCATTGAGGGTTGTAAATAGCAACGTTCGAAGGAAGAAAGAATCCAAAACAACACTTTTCTTCTCTGTGTTCTCATGGTTGCTGAAGTAATGGAGGGCAGCTTCCTGTGTGTGCATCTCTTGTGTAAACAGTGGAGATGAGTGAAGTGATGTTCTTTATTATCAATACGTCTAAGGCTAAATTGCCGTCTGATTTCTCCCATTCACCTTTAAATTTGATACAGGTTACTATAGAGTCCAACTTCTCAAAGAATTGGGAAAAAGGTTGTATCTTTCCAAAAGGTAAATATGTCGTCTTTGTATCTGTAACCAACCTGCCCTCCTAATGGAGCGTCGCATTTTGACGTATACTCTGCCTAACGCCAAAAATCGTCGTAATAGAAAATGATAGCAGTTCGCAAAATTGACACACTGGCTCGTTTTCTGTTTTGGGTCCTCCTGGTAGGTTAGGATAAGGGCACTTTAGTATGAGTCTTTCTTGACGTAGGGAAATCATAGGAGGACGGGCTGCTGCAGGAGATTATGTCGCAAGGTGTGACCTAGGAGCAGACACTTGTCTCCAAGTGCTCCATATAACGATTACATAACACTGATGAGGGTCGACGACCCATACTACACCCATATTTTTGATCCTATAAATGAGCAGGCGAGGAGTCACAATAACGTGGCTGAAGTAGTTTGACCAGACCACACACTAGAAGGTGAAGGGACGACGACGTTTCGGTCCGTCCTGGACCATTCTCAAGTCGAAGAATGGAAACGTCGTCGTCCCTTCACCTTCTATTATGTGGTCTGGTCATCCTATAAATGATTTTGAAACGAAAATGCGTTGGTGGAAACACCCACAACTGTGTTGATTATATTATCTTATAAGTAGTAGTAGTAGGCATCCATCAGCCTCAGGAGACTATGGAGTTGTCGGTTCTGGTTGTCTGTTCGGGTAGAGGTAATGTTTGCCGAAACATTTTTAATTTGTTCTCTAAGAATACTTTAATATCGTAGATAGGGACCTCACTAAGAGAGAGCGGTGAACAGCTACAATTAACAGTCACACACAGTGTTTTAGCCCAAGTGAATGAGTAAATTAGTTATGTCTGAGGCCGGCGGGTGCGATTTTTGGGTGTGGATGAATGGGCTGAGTATGGAAACGGGTGTGGCATAGTGAGAGAGGAGATAGACAGGGATACCACCATGTTGGAACCCTCTGAGAACATCCGCTAATTATGTAAGGCTGAGGTTGACGGTACTTCAGTGACCTGGAGACAAAGTGATAGCAGGAGTCTTGAATCTAAGGCACAATGAGGAGTTGTTGAGGAGGGGCCTCAGGGCGTGTCACAGATGTAGAACAGGAGATGGCTTATTGGCTCAAGCCATTGGAAGTAGCAATTCTGGTCAGCATGTTGTGCTGAGGATGCTGAGGAAATAATAGTGAGCCTTAAGACGTCCATGATGACGTCTTAGAACCCTAAGACGATCCCTGGTGACATGTCCATTGAGGACACGTCACCAGGGGGACTTTAGTCCTCGACTAGGCCTCCTTTTTATTGCATTCCCCCAGGGAGCAGCCCGTAGCAGCTGCTTAACTCCCAGGTACCTATTTTATGCCAGGTTAACAGGTGCATCAGGGTGAAATCAACTCTGCCCATTTGTTTCCGCCTCCGCCGGGGATTGAACCTGAAAACTTAGAACTACGAACCCCGAGCGCTGTACACTCAGCCGTCAGGTCACTTATACAAAAGTAGGCCATATACACAAAATATGATCAACATATTTATACCATTGAATGGGTAATTTTTGAAAAATAAAATCATTTCGAAAAATTCCATGTACAATTTTAAAAGCAAACGCAATAAAGGATTCCCCATTGCCATTCCAAAAGTCTGTAAATAATACTCATTATTAAAAGTAAATTTACATTTTTTTATACAGAGCTTAACTAGATTGTCAATAATATCAGCAGACAGAGGTAATACATAGTTCATCAATTCATGATGGAGGTAATCAAGAATATCATCAACCGGAACTTTAGTAAACTAAGAACAAACGTCAAAACTGATTAACTTGACATCAGGAGTGATTGGAACGTTATTCAATTTGTTAACTAATTCAATAGAATTGGTCAAATGTGAAGAAATAGCTCCTAACAATGAGGACAGGTTTTTGGTGAACTATTTTGAAAGCTTGTAAGAAATGGATCCCACGGTGGCTTGACGACTGAGTGGCAGCGCTCGGATTCGAAGTCCTAAGGTTCCAGGATCGATCATCGGCGGAGGCGAAAACAAACGGGCAGAGTTTCTTTCACCCTCATGCCCCTGTTCACCTAGCAGTAAATAGGTACCTGGGAATTAGACAGCTGCTACGGGCTGCTTCCTGGGGCTGTGGGAGGGAGGGAGGTCGGGAGGACCAAAAGGGAGACCAGGTCGTGGACTGGGCCGCGGGGACGCTAAGCCCCGAAATCAACTCAAGATAACCTCAAAAGGATAACCACAGAACTGATGGCTGAGCTCATGGGACAGCTCAACAACTAAAGTTCAACCCAAGTAAATGTAAGGGAATGAAACTAGGCGGCGGAAACAGGAGGCCAGTCACTGGATACCGAATGGGAGATGAAGTCCTTCATGAAACGGACAGAGACAAAGATCTATGAGTTGATATCACACCAAACCTGTCTCCTGAAGCCCACATCAAAAGAATAACATCTGTGGCGAATGCAAGACTGGCTAACATCAGAACTGCCTTCAGAAACCTGTGTAAGGAATCTTTCAGATCCATGTACACCAGATATGTGAGACCAATCCTGGAGTATGCGGCCCCAGCATGGAGCCCGTACCCTGTCAAGCACAAGACGGAACTGGAGAAAGTTCAGAGGTATGCCACTAGGCTAGTACCAGAACTAACAGGCATGAGTTACGAGGATAGGCGGCGTGAATTGCATCCCATGTCGCTGGACATCAAAGAGCTCGGGGAAACTTGATCACCATATACAAAATTTTCAGGGAAATTGACAGGATTGATATGGACGGATTATGAAACATTGGTGGTACTCGCACAAAGGGACACAAGTGGAAGCTGAGTCCCCCTATGAGCCACAGAGACATTAGAAAGAACATTTTGAGTGCCAGAGTAGTTAATAAATGGAATAACATTAGAAAGCAATGTGGTGGAAACCACACACTGAAGTGTAAATGGCCAGAAAGACCTCACACTGAAGTGTAAATGGCCAGAAAGACCTCACACTGAAGTGTAAATGGCCAGAAAGACCTCACGCTGAAGTGCAAATGGCCAGAAAGTTGCACCAATCTCTCTCTTTTTTTCCTTTTTTTCTTATTTATCTTTTTTTATTATTATTAATCCTCTCCTCATCGTCTTCTTTAATACCCCATTCCCTCGCTGCCTTACGAAGGCGCTGCCAGCCCGTCAACTCAATCTTCCCCAAAATTGCAATTTAATAATAACAATCCAAGATAAACATCGACAGGGGGTTACATTCTCCCTATCTGTTTAACACTTATTTTATCGGTCATTATTGCATTTGAATGGCATTTCAACCTTGGCTTCTGTGTCTCCCGTGAAATTGCCATGCATTGTCTTCTGTGTAATACATATTTTTTTGTATTGGGAATAACTGTATATGGCACATGGGATTGAAATATCCAAGTACTGCCTGTATGATGTGTTCTGTGGTTCGTCCTAATGGAAATCGTGTGTCGATGTGAGTGAGTGTGGCGTTTAGGTAGATTTGGGATTGTACACACCTGAGTGTATATGACTAGTATGGTCATACTAGGTGACTAGGTGAGTATACTGGGTGTATGCAACAGGTCTGGTGCATGTTGAAGAGAGCAGCTTGATTGCAGTTGTGTGTGTGTGTGTACTCACCTAATTGTGTGTGTGTGTGTGTGTGTGTGTGTGTGTGTGGCTCATTTGGGTACTGTGTGTGTGTGTGAGGTGTGTGTGTGTGTGTGTGTGTACTCACCTATTTGTGTTATCGGGATCGAGCATTGACTCTTGGATCCCGCCTTTCGAGCATCGGTTGTTTACAGCAA